CCGAGGATCGATCGCACTGGCAGTGGACGATACGTGCGGCGGAGGTGATGAGTACTTTCAGAGGGCAATGGAGAAGATCAAGCGGAGGTTTCCTTTCGGCAAGTACCGGAAGGGCAAGGGCGACTTCCTGGGCAAGCAGCTCGAGCAGCTGCCCGACAAGTCGGTCAAGATCAACCAAAAGAACATGGTCGATGAGATCGAGATGATCAACATCACAGCCGGGCGCCGTGCGACGCCCGACGAGCCGTGCAACGATCAGGAGATATCCGCGCTGAGAGCCGTGGCAGGATCCCTCAACTACGTGGGACGCGAGACACGCCCTGACCTGAGCGGGCCAGTCTCGCTGCTACAGGGCACTTTCCCGAAGCCGAAGGTGTCCGACCTGCTGGAGGGGAACCGGGTGGCCAGGATCGCCAAGGATTTCTCCCACACGACGCTCTGGATCAGGCCGATTAGTCTGAAGGACTTGGGCTTCTTTGCGGTGGCGGACGCGGCCTGGGCGAACGCGAAGGGCCAGGCGAGCCAGGCGGGCTGGCTCCTCCTCGCTGGCGACGTGAGCATCTGCAAGGGAATGTGGGGTAAGATATCCCCGATGGCATGGAGATCCCACCGGCTCGCTCGGAAGGTGCCGAGCTCGCTGGCCGCCGAGACGCTGGGAGTGGACGAGGGGCTGGCGAACGGAATCTACCTACGCAGCCTGTTCGCTCAACTGGCTTTTCCTGGCCTGGACGCCCGGACGGCGCCCGAGGCCGGCAGGACGTTCCCGCTGACCGTGGTCACGGACAGCAAGTGCCTGTACGACCACCTGCACAACATCTCCGGCGGCCCGAGCAAGGACCGGAGGACCGCTCTGGACATCGCGATACTGAAGGAGAGCATGCAGGGCAGCGGTGCCAGCATCCGCTGGGTGGATGGCAAACGGCATCAGATCACCGACTCTCTGACGAAGCGCAACGGGTGTGCCGACCTACTGCGGGGGATCTTGCAGAGGGGCGAGTACGTCATCGTGGAGGAGGATCAGGCGCTCAAGATCCGAGAGGCTGAGAGAGCTTCGAGAGTGACGAGAAGAGGAGCGTTCGGGAGGCCTACGACGAGAACAGCATCCTCCACTGAACCGAGGCGCACGAGCTCACCTGTATTCTGCAGCGCTGCGCGCTCCATGGTAGATACGCGCGCTGCGCGCGAGAGTTGGATTTTAAACCCTGGTCGAACCGTGTCGAGTTGCGAGGGGAGGCTGCCTACAGGTGTCTTGGCATCTAGAATTCTGGGGCGTGCGAGTTGACCCAGGGTCCCTCTAGAGGCTTTCTGAGGATGCCAGACACTCAGCCCCTTTCCGCAACCTTTTGGTTCGATCAGGGGCTTCGGCCCCTTGGAGGCAGACACATGTTAGCCTGAGCTGATACTGAAAACGGAGGCATACGAGAGCTCACGCTTACGTTTCCGCCGCTCCACCGTGTTCGGTTAAACATAAAAACTCGGAGGTCCGCGCGGAATTCTCGGATCGGCGCTGGGACCCCCTGGCGGCGCCTCCGGCGCGCCAGGGAGGGGGGTCCAGCGCCGATCCGAGAAATCCGCGCGGACCTCCGAGTTTTTATGTTTATGTCACTTTTCGTTCCCCTATGTCTGCCCTCTGACGGCATTCGGCGGATTCCAGCGGTCTTCGGCGTGATACAGGCCTCGGACAAAAATAACGAACACTCATGCCACACTCAGCTGTCAGCGCCTCCCCCTCCCCCCAATGTTCAAAGTTGGCGGTGGGTCTGATGAGTTGCACCTCGACCGCAGTCTCCCCCGCGCGTGCCAACTTTGAGTTTGGGGGGGAGGGGGAGTGTTCAGCAGCTGTTTCCCTCCACCGTATCCGTAGGGCTCCTCTTCACCGTGAGCCCATGGTCGAACACCCAGTGCAAGGAGGTGGCGCGAGAGGGTGCGGCCTCGGGAGAAGGCGGGCGGGGGGGGAGAGGCGGGAGACGGGGGCCCCGTGGAAGCCCTGCCGGCCTCCAGGGAGGGACCTCCGCGGAAAGCACCAGGCAGCGCCCAGCAGGGCCCTCCCCTAGTCGGAGGCCCTGCACCTCCTCCAGAGGCCGTCCATAGCCTGGCGCCGTCCCACGCCTGCGCGCCGCCAGCATGTCCGCGAGCAGCGCAACGGACGGGCGGGCCGAACGCCCAGCGCACCCGCAGGTCTGGCGAGCTGCGCCGGCCAGAACGTGGACCCGACACGTGCCGAGCCAGCACGCAAGGTGTGAGCCAGCACGCGAGGTGTTCGCGCGGACGCTGTGAGCACGGTGCTCGCTGGAGGGGGAGGAGGGAGGAGGAGGAGGAGGAGGAGGAGGAGGAGGAGGAGGAGGAGGAGGAGGAGGAGGAGGAGGAGGGCTGCGCCTCCCACACGGGCGTCTCAGGGCGCTTAGGATGCGTAAGCCACGGACCCACTTCACGTCTTGTACTGGCGAGGTCGCCCGTGACCCGCCCAGCCCCCCCCCTCCCCTGCGATGGGCACGTCTTCCACCCACCACTTCCATAAGCAGGAGGGGAGGGGGGCTCCCCTCCTCCTCCTCCTCCCCTCCTCTCCTCCTGCTCCTCCTCCTCCTCCTCCTCCTCCGCCTCCTCCTCCTCCTCCGCCTCCTCCTCCTCCTCCTCCTCCTCCTCCTCCTCCTCCTCCTCCTCCTCCTCCTCTTCGTCCTCCTCCTCGTCCTCCACCTCCTTCCCCACTCCAACTTATGGTGGTGGTGGTGGTGGTGGTGGACAACACGCCCATGACCCCGTGCCTGGTCACATCAGGATTCGCGCCCGCGCCGCCTGGGAATGAGCCCTCCTCAGGCATTCCCAGACGGCTCCAGCGCGAGTCGCAACGTGACGCCCCCCCCCTCCCCTTTTCCCACTGGTCACGCCCGCTATCGCCAAGGGTTGAAGAAACGGTCACCATATACTTTCGGAGATTCGCTTCGGCCGCCAGAATATTACGCTTACCGCCATCGTGCTGAGAAGCCCCGAGTAAGGAACCCAGGGGGCGCTTCTGGCTGCGGCGAGCCTCGGGCACGCACCGACGTAGATCTCAGCAATGGCCCGATGATCAGTAGGGAAACAAAAAGTGGCATTAACATAACAACTCGGAGGTCCGCGCGGATTTCTCGGATCCGCGCTGGACCCACCTCCCTGGCGCGCGGAGCGCGCCAGGGGCGGCGCCGGAGGCGCCGCCGTGGGGCCCCAGCGCCGATCCGAGAATTCCGCGCGGACCTCCGAGTTGTTATGTTAATGTCACTTTGTGTTCCCCTAGTCAGGCCCCCTCCCGAGCCCAGATGAGGGGCAGCGATCGGGGGGAACTGGCATCAGGGGCTAACCTCGGCCTGGAGTCGGCGATGCATCGCCGACAGCTCGGCGATGGGCCCCCGAAGGTCGTGCCTTCCTGGGCAGGTTGGCAGGCGCCGAGCGACGGGGGGAAGCAAGAAGGGGCGGGCCTTCTCGGAAGGCTCTGAAGTCCCTGGGCCTTCTGAGAAGTCTGTTTAGCCTTCCTCGAAGACACAAACAAAAAACTTCTCAGAAGGAGCGAGGGCTTCTGAGAAGTCCCGCCGCCTTCTGAGAAGGCCTTCTCCCTCTCGCTTCCCCCCTCGCTCGCCGCCGAGTTAGGGCGATCGGACCCCTGTTGGCGATCAATTGGCCATTGGGTGTCGATGCATCCCCCCCCTGATGCTTGTCCCCCCCTCTCGTTGCCCCTGACCAGAGCCATCCTCTCTTCCATCGCCTCGACTGCCTGCCCTCCTCGAGTCGTGCCTCCTCCTCGAGGCCCCTCATCGAGGCGCATCATCGAGACGTGCTCCCTCCCCACCCTTCCTCCCCCGACAGGACAGAGGGTAACCGTGCTGATTGCTTAGTTCGAATAGCTCACACTCTCTGGCCCAAGGTCCTGAGCAATGCTGAGCGTGCCAAGGGGCAGCAGGAGCAGTGAGCAATTCATCGTTTCCCGACCGGGTCGCCGGATCCAGAACTCCAGAGACCCCTCCTCCTTCACCCTGGCCCAAACCGTCCTCGGGACACTCGGGACATGCTCCTCCCATGCCTCCCCCGCGTCCTCCCCCGGTCAGCAGGATGTGTCCCACCATCTCATCCAACCCATTCCCTCCCTCGCACCCCACTGCCTCCCACGCCCCCCCCCTCCTCCGCACAACAGTCTCGTCTCCTCCTCCTCCTCCATCCTCCACCTCCTCCGCCCGCCTCCCCTCCTCCGCCTCCTCCTCCCCCTCCTCCTCCTCCTCCTCCGCCTCCTCCGCCTCCTCCTCCCCTCCTCCTCCTCTCCTCCTCCTCCTTCCCCTCCTCCTCCTCATCCTCCTCCCCTTCCTCCGCTCCACCTCCCCTCCCCTCATCCTCCTCCTCCCCTCTCCTCCCCTCCTTCCTCTTCCACCCCCCTCCGCCCTCCCCTCCCGCCCATCCTCCCCGCCCTCCTCCCTCCCTCCTCCTCCCCCTTCCCGCCTCCCTCCTCCTCCTCCTCCTCCTCCTCCTCTCCCTCCTCCTCCTCCTCTCCTCCTCCTCCTCCTCCTCCTCACTCCTCCTCCTCCTCCTCCCCCCCTCCATCTCTGGGGGGACAAGACAACACCGATACCGCTACTCCCCGGAGCTCTCCAAGGGCGTCTCCTGGCCAATTGTTCGAGGCGCCTCCACCCGTGGCGACGAGGGAAGGATAGCGGAATCAGCATCTGCTCCTCCTCTGGCTCTCCTCCACCCTCCAACCCCTCCCTCCCTCCCCCCCAACCCCTCCTGCCAACCTCTCCCTCCCCCTCAAAAAAACCCTCCCCCTCCCTCCCCCTCCAACCCCTCCTGTCAACCTCTCGCTCCCCCTCCAACCCCTCCCTCCCCCCCCCTCCCACCCCTCCCCCCACCAACCCCCCCACACCCTCCCCCTCCGACCCCTCCCCCTCCACCTCCTCCTCCCTCCTCCCCCTCCAACCCCTCCTCCGCCCTCCCTTCCCTCCCCCATCCTCCCTCCCTCCCCCCCCTCCCCTCCGCGATAGCCGCGCTCCCTGCTGGGGGCTCTCCCCGGGAGCCCGCGGCAACTCCCGGGGCGCTCGGGCGCTCGGCCCGCCCGGAGGGCGCCGGCCCAGTGCCCGCCGCGGCCGCAGGCCACCGTGGAGACGTTGTAGCTGACGCGCGGGAGGCCCCGGGCTCTTCTGCATGGGCAGGGCGAGGCGGAGAGTTTTTATCCACGTCCCCAGACCCCCTCGAGTCATGAAAAAATCACGACGGGAGGTTTTTCATTATTTTTGGACTCTGGGGGCCCTTACCGGCCCTCGGGACCGTCAAAAAACGACTCAGGACGAAAAACTGGTCCTGGGGAATGGGTCCAGACCTCTGGGGGTCGACGTCATGAAAAAATCATGACGTCGGGGGTCTGGGTCCACCGCCTGGGACCGACGTCCTGGTGCCCCAGCAGGCGGTGGATATGGATACATGTGTTAATTAGCCCCCGGGGGGGCCCGAACGTGTGTCCGTATCCACCCCGCCTGCCGAGGTCCCCGAACATTGACCCTCCAAGCGGTGGTCATGTATAAATTCCCGCCTCGGAGGGAGGGCGACAGTCCAGACCCCCCCGAATTGCGAGAGAGAACGTCTCGACGGGAGGCGTTTTCCGCTAATTGTTCGGCCCGTGGGGGCCTCGCCGGGCCTCGGGGCCGTCAGCAGAACGACGCGGGAGGAGACACCTGGTCCTGGGGAAGGGGTCCCCAGACCTCTGGGGGTCCGACGCCGTGAACAGAAATCACGACGTCGGGATTGGGAGGCCGGAAACGTGCACCAACACCAAAAAACAGCGGGGTGCCCACGCCGGGGGATGCTGATCCTGGTCCTGAATGCTGGCGCTGGTGTTGTTGCCCCGGCCACGCGAGAAGCGCGAGGATTTGCCACCGTCGCCGAGAGTTAGGCGGTTCCCATCGTGCTCAAGGGCCACCTCCCAGGAATAATTTCGAGCACCCCGACAAATACCAAAACAGTGTCTGCCCGACACGCTGGCGAAGTGTCGAACGAGTATCGCCTCACAGGGCCCGACACGTGAAAACCCTACAGTTCCGGGATTTCTTGATGCTCGAAATTCTTTCTGGTGGCCCAGGCTAAAATAGGGTGGAGCATCATAAGGCGAGTTCAGGATCTCGGTGTTGAGGCAACCGCCGATATCCATGCTGGTGCAAACCTCTGGACCTATGATAGAGGAACGAACACAGCATAGTCGAACAAAAACACATGCACGAGAACTCGATAGGATTGTTGCCACGGCTGGATCCGCCTCGAAAAATGAATCGAGATGGGCCCCAGATGCAAAGAACAGAGGATCAAGAAACTGAACTCAACGTAAACGTCCGACAAGCAGCGCGGCACTTCTTAAAGACCGGCGATGGAGCACCCCAGCGGCGCCGCCGCCACGAGCGGCGGTCAACCTTAAGAACGCCCGAACAGGGGGTCGCCGCCGCGCCGACACGACGTGAGCCTACGGCAGCTTCGTGCCGTGCCGACTTCGGCGTCGGTCTCTGACACCGCGTGGATCGTTCGGGTGTTGCTAGAAGCACCCCTGGCCCAAGGTACCCCCAGGATTCTCGGGGTGGCCCAGACGGCCTCCAGGGCACCCTTCACGAGGCCCAGAGGGCCCAGGGGCTCCAAAATGGAGCGAAAAGCTGGGGGCACTATGGGCCAGGGGCACTTCTAGCAACACCCGGATCGTTCAATCCGGAACGATCGGCCGTTTCCGGCACGTCAGATCGTTCCACTTCGACCGTCTCTAGGGCGCCAGCGGCGTTCTACGTTCAACGCTGGCGGCGGGGTCGCTGCTGGCCGACACGACGCGAACCTACCCTACGAAAGAGCGCGTCCTGTGGGCGCTTGGAGGGGGGGGGGGGGGGGAAAACCGGAACCGGGCCGCCTCCCACCCGTGGGCTCGAACCTCCCCCCCCTGGGCCTGCGACGGCGCAGGCGTGGGCGTGGGCGTGGGCCTGGGCCTGGGCCTGGGCGCGGGCGTGGGCGCGGGCGTTGACATGGGCCTGCGCGTGAGCGTGGGCTTGGGCGTGGGCGTGGAAGTGGGCCTGGGCGTGGGTGTGGGTGTGGGCGTGGGTGTGGGCGTCGGCGCTGCCAGCCGCCGCCGCCGCCGCGCCCGCCGGAGCCCTTGCGCCGGCGCCCGCGGGGAGGGTTCGGGGAAGGGGGGGAGGGGGGAAGGGGAGTCCCCCTGGTTGTGTTCGACGGCGCCGAATGTTGGGGGGGGGCCCCGGCTCAAACGCGCCGCCGAATGTTCCCAGGGCAAGCGCCCGTGAAACGCGCTCCCTCTACCCTGCCGTACACACGAGGTGCGGGCCTCCCGGATGTCGTCCATCTCAACACTCAGGCCGCCCATCTCCGTCAGGAGAGCGACCACTCGCTCCCACTGCAGCGCCTTCTCGAGATCAGCTGGCATCGGATCCGAAGAGCGGATCCGATCGGAACGTGCGTCGAATCGGGCCGCATCGGCACGGAGTCAGAATCGAGTCGGATCGGCCGCGCCAGGATGCAGAACGGCACCGGATCGTCGGAGCACTGGGCTCGAAGCGGACCGGGCGAGCCAAAGTCCATATATCCCAGACCTGCGATGCCCTGAGTTGTCCAAAACGCTGTCCCCGAAGTCCCGGCCCGTTCCCCAAGGCCAGTCTTCATCCCGAGTCGATGTTTTTGACGGCCCGCGGGCCCGCTCAGTGCCTCCAGAGGCCGAAGATTCGGACAACTCCCAGTCCTGTGTTCTTTCAGGAGCTGCACGTCTGGGACCGGATCGAGATGGGCACTGCCTTCTCGCAGTTGCTGAGCAGCGCGTTGAACGTGACCACGTCCGGCGCCGTCTCTAGCAGCACCATCTCGCAGCGGACAGCCAGCGCCCTCTTCGGAGCACGCGTCGTCGTCGTCGTCGTCGTCGTCGCGTCGTCACGACGTCGTCGTGGTTGCGTCGTCGTCGTCGCGGCCGTCGTCACCTATGCTTCCTGGGCCCCGGCACGCCCGCACCGGGTAGTGCGGGATGCCGACGAAACATGCAGAGATACCGAGGCGAAGCTTAAGACAGCGTTCTGCTGGGGAGACTTCAGCAGAGGACGATCAAAGAACCTCAGTGACGACGGTCATGCCCACGAGCACGCCCAGAACTCCGTGCCTTGCTGCGCGGCGGGCCCCTGGAACGGTGTCCAATCTATCAGGACACTGCCCACGGCCGACAGCAGGCACTCCTGGGAAGGCGACCTCTTTCGAGGGGCCCAGGGACACACAAATAAACAGACACATATCCCGGATGTCCCATATGTTCCCATATGTTCTGGGTATTCGTCTGCCCCCCCACTTCCCGTATTTTCCCATATGTTCTTAGGAGTCGACGGTGAATTTTGTCAGTGTGTGTGTTCTTCCCCTCCCGATTCTTGTCTCGAGCGGACATCTCGCACCGGGGAAAAACTCGGAACGGTGCCCACGATCAGACGTTGATCACAGCCGACAGCAGGCACTCCTGGGAAGGTGACTTCTTGTCTTGAGCGGACAGCGTCCGGGGCGACGCCGACAGCGAGCCCTGTTTCGGCGGCGAGCAGGGGGGGGGGTAATGCGAAGGGGCGAGCCTTCTCAGCAGGCTTGGAAATCGCCCAGGCTTCGCACAAGTCTTCTAAGCCTCCCCCGGAGACGCAGAACGCCTATCAGAAAGCCGGAGGCCTTCTGAGAAGCCCCGGCGCCTACTGAGAAGGCCTTCTCCTTCCCTGGGAAGGAAGAAAACGCCACAAACATAAACTTTTGGCGCTCCGCGCAGATTTCTTGGATCGTCGCTGGACCCCCCGCGGTGCTGGAGGCGCCGTCAGGAAGGGCCCAGCGCTGATCCAAGCTGCCGTTCCTTGCCGTTTTTGGCGTTGGTTCTTCGACCCTCGCTTGCCGCCGACTGCTCCAAAATGGGCAGGAACTGCTGCTGGCTGGTCCTTGCCCCATTCCTGACGTACCGGTCTCGATCGTGCCTCGGGGATCTTCTGACCCGGGTCAATCCACACCTGGGTCAGTCAGGCCTTGCGGGATCCTGCAAGATCCTGCGCGCTCCTGCACCCAAGCCCGGGTCAACGCGAGGGATCCTTCGGGATCCTGCAGCCAAACCCGGGCCAGTGCGACCCTGGCCCTGCAGGATCCTGCAAGATCGGGCGCTCTGGCTGACCCCCGTTTTTGAGCAGGGACCGACCTGCCCGGCATTCCTGTAGTCCTACCACGAATTGTTCTTAGAACCCAGAAATGCTTTAATAACAAAACCAACGTTCTGAGAACAGAAACGCGATGTGATAAGACAAGACAGACTCCGCCAGAAATGTTCTAAGAACAGCTCGTGGGAACCACAAAAGGTTCTCAGAACACTGCTCGGTAGGGCTATCAGCACGCCACGACGCTTCGCCACTGCTTGACGTGGGAACCACAAAAGGTTCTTAGAACACTGTTCGGTAGGGCTACAGGCACGCCACGACGCTTCGCCACTGCTTGACGTTTGCATTGGCCCCCGCCCCAAGGCTCACGAGTGTCGAGGGCCGACGAACCGCCGGGCCCAGGACGTACCCAAGCGAGGGCCGGCGAGCCGGATCGCCGACGCCCCCCCCGCGGCCTCTGCCAGAGCCGCGGGTACTCGAGCGCGCTCAGGGCGGCGTTGAAGCTGACCGCGTCGGGCTGGAGCACCGCGTCGCGCATCTCTGCGAGCAGGGCCAGCGCGTGCCGCCACTGCTTCCGCTTCTCGCAGGCGCTGATGGCGGCGTTGAAGGACACCACGTCGCGCGCGACCCTGCGCGCCCCCGCCTCACGGAAGGATCAGCAAGAAGACCCGCGCAGGCACGCGCTCTCGGAGGCCCGCGCGCGTAGATCCTGGATCGGCGCTGGACTTCGATAAGCCCTCCAAATACCCCTGACCCTTTGTGTGGGAGGGGACCTACGCCAGGAGGGGCAACAACATCAGGATCAGGGGCTCCTTCCTGCAGCTGTATCGGACCAAACCGCCCAAATGTATCATCCCGAACGCGAAGACGGGGACCTAAAAGAGGCCACGTCTTCATCCGTGTAAATCGTGTTAGGGGCATCTCCTGTTCTCGATGATCCGAGGCCCGCTCCAGGGGAGCCCGCGTGGGCCCCCGGCGCTGTCCGATCCGGGCCTGATCCGGACAGGCTCTGGGGCACCTCTGCGACCCAACTGGGACGAGAGCTGGCCTGGGCGCGCCCCTGCACGGCCTTTTGTGTCGGCGGCTGGGCAGAGCCGCTGCGCTGGCCAAAGGAGCGAAACGGGGCATGCGTTGACCGTTCGGGGATGGACGGACCCCCCTTTCGTAAAACGTGGTTTAGTGAAAACGACCTGAGGCCCGAACCTGGCGGGCGCGAGCCTGGAAACCCCCGAACCGTGAAGCGAATCGTGCCAGCATGCAGGAGATGGGGGGAGGAGGGGGAGGAGGAGGAGGAGGAGGAGGAGGAGGAGGAGGAGGAGGAGGGAGGAGGAGGAGGAGGAGGAGGAGGAGGGGAAGGAGGAGGAAGAGGAGGAGGAAGAGGAGGAGGAGGAGGAGGAGGAGGAGGGAGGAGGGAGGAGGAGGGAGGGAGGAGGACGACGGGGCGACGGCCGAAGGGGAGAGGGAAAAACGGGCGCCGGGCCCGCCCCTGCACAGGGGGGAGGCGGAGGAGAGAGCGAGGCGGAGGAGGAGGCTCGGGGCGAGGTCGGAGGCCTGGAAATGGGCACCAACACCAACACAGGGGGTTGCCTCCACAGGAGGAAGATGGTCCTAGATTTCGGTGTTGGTGGTAATATTTCGATCACCTTGGAAGCCAGAATATTACCACCATCACCGAGATCAGGATCCTCTTCCCTCGGTGGAGGCACCCCGCCAATACTGGTGTTGGTGTCAATCTCTAAGCTTGCGACGAGGAGAGCGAGGCGAGGAGAGTCGGGGCAGCCTGGCGGAGCTCCCTTTGTGAGCCTCCTCTTGCTCCACTGCCCTTCGTCCCTCTCCTCACCTCCTGGCACTCTGTCACACCCTCTTTGAGTTGCACTTGGTCCTCTCTGGGTTGTTCTTCCCCTTGTCCATAATTAGGCACTCCTGCTGCACGACGCTGCGAGCTTTGCTCAAAGTCTGCCTAACGCAAAAAGGAGGAAGGGGGGCGAGAATAAGCAGAAGGACGGGCCACACGGGGTCCAAGTGCGGCCCAGATGCAGGAACAAAAGCGGGCTCCCACGTCGCCGCCCAGGGGCCCCCAGGAACAGACATCGAGCTGGACACCCCTCCTCCCTTAAGAGGCCTCCCAGATGGGGTCGGAGGATCGCGCAGCACCGTCGATACATCGTCGATACATCACCGATGCATCGGCGATGCATCGGCAATGCATCGGCGACGTCGGCGTGGAGAACATCGGGCTGCACCTCGAGCCGCATCGCCAACTGCATCAGCGACGCGGCACGATCCTTCAAGACTCTCATCCATGCGCCGCCCCTCGGACGCACATGCCCCATTGCATGCTCCAATCTCGTGGGCTGTTTCTGCTGCTGCTGCTCGATGATCCAGGATGCTCCTCGATGGTCCCGGCCGAGATAAATGTTTTTAGCTGTATATACATGTGAAACATATACATAAACATATATATACACATGAAAATGATGATAACAACAAAAAAACTCACGCGTCCGAGCGAGGCCATGTCCACTCCGACCCCTCCCGGGGGCTGCGCGCCCGGGGCGCCTGACCCGAGAGTTCAGCGATGGGGCCTCCGAAGACTCTGTGCTCGCTCGCCCGGGCTGCTCTTCCTCTCTCGCGCAGGGACCGACCGCCCCAGCATTGCCCATAGGCCTTGGAGCCAAGCAGTGCGCTGAGAACCGGGACGGTGTTCCCAGGACGTCAAGTGCGGTGGACGAAAGCGGTGTGCCGCCTCGGTCAGAAGCGCGGGCAAGAACATCTCGAGCGGCTCTTGGAACATGCTTTCGGCGGCGCGCCCCGGGGGGGGGGTGCAGAGGGGGCAGGCCTTCTCCGGTGGCGGGGCTTCGCAGACGCCCCTGGCCCTTCTGAGGAGCCGCCTCTGTCTTCGGAGAAGGCTCAGAACACTTCTCTTCGGACCCGAGGCCTTCAGAGTCTTTTGAGGAGGGGCCCGCCCCCCCTGCCTTCCCCCTTGGCTTGCCGCAGATCCTTCGGCGGGCCTGTGGACAAATCAGGGCGCTCCGCTTCGGCAGGAAGCAGATGGGCCCTGCACGGGAAACGGGCCGTGGACCCCCGAGGCCCTCCCCCAAACCGGCTCTCTTCATGCCGAGTCGGCTTTTTGACGGTACCGGGACCCGCGGAGGGCCCCGAGAGCCCGACAGCAGCGCCAAATCTCAGGACCCGTTTCCCTCAGGGAGGAGGAGGAGGAAGAGGAGGAGGTTGAGGAGGGCCAGTGTAAACCCAAGAGGCATCAACGATGTGGGAATAAACCCTCCCTCCCAGCTCCTTCCTCATAGGCCCTTACGGCGGTTCATTTCCATTGCGGGAACTGCGTCGTTGGAAGACAATATTTCGAAGAATCTGAAACATGCATGAACATTGTTCTCGTGATTCCAACTCTACGGATCAACCTAACTGTTGCGTCTTGACGATCCTAACTCGTGCCAGAACGCCATTCCTGGGACTTCAACACCACGAATCAAAGTAACTGTTGTACCAGCATAATCCTGAATCGCTCCAAAACACCATTTCTGGTGCGTTGATCATGGGAATCCGTTTTAAAAAAGCTTACACTGTTTATAAACGAATGTGCGCGGCGCTAAAACGAGAACCATAGTTTGAAGAGGAACTGACCTCAATCCGTGAAACTGTTGTAATTTTAAAAAAGAGTGTGCGCGACGCTAACTCGAGAGCCACATTTTGAAACAAAAACGCCCTCAGTCTGTGAAAAACTGTAATTATTTGAAGCGACTGTGCGCGGCGCTGAAGCGAAAATCACATTTTGAAAACGACTCGCCCTCAATCCGTGAAACTCTTGCATGTGTTAAACGAATGGGGTGGCGCTGAAGCGAGAGCCACATCTTGAAAACGACTCGCCCTCCATCCACGACACTCTTGGCATTTTGGAACAAACAAACAACGAATGTGCGCGGCGCTAACACGAGAGCCACATGTTGAAAACGACCCACCCTCCATCTGTGAAACTGTTGCCAATGTTTAGGCTTCAGAGTCATAAATGGTGAAGAAGTCTTAGGCGAAACGCCCGGCCCGCCTTGACATCTGGCCTTCGTGATGCGACAGGGAGAAATTATTTGTAAGGAAAAAGGAACGGAGGAGGAGGAGGAGGAGGAGGAGGAGGGGGAGGAGGAGAGGGGGAGGAGGAGGAGGAGGAGGAGGAGAGGGAGAGGAGGAGTAGGATGGAGGAGAGGAGGGAGGGAGGAGAGGAGAGGAGAGAGGAGGAGAGAGGTGGAGGAGGAGAGGAGGAGGAAGAGGGGCGGAGGGGGAGGAGGAGGGGAGGAGGGGGAGGGGGGGGAGGAGGAGGAGAGGAGGAGAGGAGAGGAGGAGGAGGAGGAGAGAGGAGGAGGAGGGAAGGAGGAGGAGGGTAGAGGAGGAGGAGGGGGGGGAAGGGGGAAGGGGGATGAGGGGGATGAGGGGGAGGAGGAGGGGGAGGAGGAGGAGGAGGAGGAGGAGGAGGAGGAGGAGGAGGAGGAGGAGGAGGAGGAGACCCGCTCCCCTCGTGGCGACCGCCGCTCTGCTCGACTCCCCGGGCCTCGCCCAGGAGGCCGAGGGCCACCTGCCACTGCTGCCCCTTCTCGCAGGCGCTGATGGCCGCGTTGTAGCTGACCGTGTTGGGGGGCGGCGCGCCGCCGCCGCCGCCCCGCGCGGCGGGCGCGCCCATCTGCTCGCGGGGCCGGCCGGCGGCGCAGGCGTCCAGCCCAGGGACGAGGGCAGGAGGAGAGCAGACGCCACGAGCATCAGCTCGCGGCGCTCCGCGCGGGGCTCTCTCCGATCCGAGGAAATCCGCGCGGAGCGCCACGAGTTTATGAGCATGGCGAGTTTTGGTTCGTCGAGACAAGGGAGTCCCAAAAACGGCCCTCGACTACGATAGGACGAGCGCGTTCCACTACGGTAGGACCTGGGACAGAAACACATCCTTCAAGAACATGAGACCCTCCGCCAGCCAAAGCACACAGAACGTTTGAGGCTACCCTCCCCAAGGATGCACACGAACATCCAACACACACGAAGAACAGAAGGGTACCCTCCCCGAACTGCCCTCGATCTTATACCTCGGTCCGACCGTAAAGCAAATACTCGCAAATGGCCTGGGTCCGCCGCGGGGGATTTGTACGATCAGTTTCATGGAGGCATGCATGTCTTTCAGACGAGTGCGAGTAGGCACTTTGCGAGTAGTGGAACGCGCTCGGTGAATAATAGGGGGTATGACCAGCCCAATCCCCAATCCCAGACCCTGTGGAGTCTTCGATCGGATGCAAACTTTGAAGCTCAACTCCCGTATATCCGATGGTGGGTGCGTCCATCCTCGACAGGGTTGCGCCAGAACAGCTCCCCAGGGGTGCATCCTCTGCACGGGTGTATCTGAAGGGGCCCTGGGACACGCAAATAAATACATACAAATAAAAGGATTCCCCATATTTTCTGGGTTTCTGTCTTCCCCCCCACTTCCCATATTTTCCCATATTTTCTGGGGAATCGACGATTAATCGTGTCTGTGTGTTTCTTCCCCTCCTGAGTATCCTCGACAGGGGTGCGTTCGTGTCGTGCCGACTTCGGCGTTGGCTTCTGACGCCACGGGGCTCGCTCCGCCTTGACCGATCGATCCGCCGCTTCCGAAACGTCAGATCGTTCAACAACCTCGGTCGCTGGCGGCACTCGACGCTGAGCGCCAGCGGCGGGGTCGCCGCCGGTCGACACGACGCGAACCTGCCGCAGTGAGCCCAGAGGCAGGGGGGTCCCGAAACGGCGCGGTGACGGGCCGCGAGGGTGGGTCGTCTGCTTGCCGCCGGGGTGCAGAGCTCGCGAGAGGGCGGGGGGACACGCATGCTTCAGATGCTCGATCTGGAGAGTTTCCTGGAGCCACTCGCTCCACTCATACGTCGATGCTGCGTCGAGCGGCCGTCGATTTGTGTCATGCTGTAGTCGAGCTGGATTCAAGCTAGTGTCGAGTCGGAGTCGAACCGAAGTCGAGCAGATCCGTCGGATGCATCCAGCATGCCCGTGGCTCGTGAGGCGAGGCGGGGGCAAGGACACGCCTGGGGTCCCAGAGCGGTGCGGTGACAGGCCGTGCGGTGAGCGGTGACCTCGAAAGACCTCACCGCGCGGTCCGCCACCGCACGGCTTTCGCGGACCCTCTGAAGGCCCCATTCGCCCGAGACATCCCTGGCGAACGGCCCAAGTCCCAAAACCGAGCGGTCACCCCGAATCCCCACTGACTCGCCACGCGGTGCTGGTCACCGCGCCGCTTGGGGGCAGGGGGTGCAGGGCCGAGGCTGCCAAGGGGGGGGGCGCCCTGACCCAGCCCTGACTAGAGGAAGAAGCAGCGCTGAAAAACGGTGCGTGAGTTCTCAAGGTCCGCGCGGATTTCTTGGATCACGACGACGACGAACAGCTCAACGACGCAGGCGGATCAGGAGCAGGAGGACGCGCGAACACTCTCGGGAGCCACTTTGGCTCAGAACCTTCGCTCAAAGCACGACTCTGGCCACGGTTTGGATCGGCGCTCCGCACGCCCCCAGCGGCGCCTCCGGCGCCGCGCCTGACGCGCTGCGTGCGCCGCGAAAGGGGTGTCCAGCGCCGATCCAAGAAAACCGCGCCCACCTCCGAACGCTTCCAGGGGAACGAACAATGACATACATGTAAAAGCTCGGAGGTCCGCGCCGATTTCTCGGATCGTCGCTGGACCCCCCCTCTCTGGCACGCTCCGCCAGAGGCGCCGCCAAGGGGGTCCAGCGTGGATCCGAGCAATCCGCGCGGACCTCCGAGTTTTTTATGCTTATGTCACTGTTCGCTCCGGTAGCTTGAGGTCGGGCATGTCCTCCCACAGGCGGATTCTGGAGGAAACATATAACGAATCATCCATGAATAATCAAAACATCGACCATAGCAGAAAAATCGCCCCCTGGCTATCTTATACTTACTGTTTCGGAATATACCTCCTGTAGAGGGACACTGCCCGACTTGACCCTGGCTTCTTGTGCCGCCGGCCCTTCCTTCGGGGATGGACAGACCTCCCTTTAGTAAAACGTGGTTGAGTGAAAACGACCTCGGGCCCAAACCTGGCGGGCGCAAGCCTGGAAAATGACGGCCACGGCGCCCTCTCGAGAACCGAAAACGGACAATTCACGAATCGACGTGTCACTGTTGGGGGTTCTGCCCACCCCCGAACCGTGAAGCGAATCGTGCCAGCATGCAGGAGATGGGGGGAGGAAGGGGAGGAGGAGGAGGAGGAGGAGGAGGAGGAGGAGGAGGAGGAGGAGGAGGAGGCAGGAGGAGGAGGGGGAGTGGAGGAGGAGGGGAGGGGGAGGAGAGTGAGGAAGAGAGGAGGAGGAGGAGGAGGAGGAGGGAGGAGGAGGGGAGGAGGAGGAGGAGAGGGAGGAGGGAGGGGGGGGGGGGAGGAGGGAGGTCCTCACGAGGCTGCCCCCGCGCCTCCGGCCCGCCCCTGCTCGGCAGCCCGCACCGCCCGCTCCCACTGCCGGCCCCGGTCGTAGGCGCTGATCAGGGCGTTGAAGCTCACGACGCCCGGCGCGGCGCGGCGGGCACCCATCTCCTCGAGCAGCGCCAGGGCCTCGGACAGACGGACAGACAGACGAGCCATGCACCAGGCGGTGCGTGGGCGTGAGCAGAGGTGGAAAAATACGGCGCTCTCTTTTCGGTCAGCAGGACAGGCCGACAAAGAAACGCGGGCAGGGCAAGAAACCGGGGCCGACGGGAAAGCGAGGAGCCGAGGAGCGCCAGGGCCTGGGGAAGCCAAAACGTACCGACACCGTGACTGTAGGGGAACGAAGCATGGCGGGAACCCCAAAAACCTGGAACTCCGAGCGGACTTTTTGCATCGGCGCTCGACCCCCCCCCCCTCCCTGGCGCGCGGAGCGCGCCAGGGGCGGCGCCAGAAGCGCCGCCAGGGGGGGGTCCAAGGCGGATCCGAAAAATCCGTGCGGACCGAGTTGCTATGTTTATGTTATTATTCGTTCCCCTAGTTACGTACTCCCTGGACCTCTCCCCGGGGTGCGCTCTGGCCAGGATGTCGAGGCGAATCCAGCGGTGGCGACGAGGGCCTCCCAGGAGACCCAAACAGGGGAGAACGAGGGAAGGGTAGCGGCATGGGTACCTTTAGGTCGGGCACGTCCCCCTACAGGCGGATTTTGACCGAACGAACGAACGAAGTGCCATACGCCGGAGCGCGTGGGCAAAAAACACTGCCAGCCTAATATCACCGCTTTGCGGGAGCGGCTGCAAGCTCTCTGTCTCTGACTTTACAACGTGCGTGATTGGAAGAGTAGGGAGGAAGCGGGGGAAGAGGAGGCCAGGGGAGGGGGACGAGACAGGAGGACGGCACAAAATACAGGAACTCTTGGCTTGAAGGTGCCTGGGCGCACGGGCAAGTAATTAGAAAACCTTCTCCGGGTCTAGCCCCAAACTCTTCGTCAAACGTTGCACGAAGACTTCCCATGCGTGGGGATTTCGCACGTGCTCCATAATATCTTCGTATGAGGCGAAGACACGTGACAGGCAGCTGTGCAGGCATGTTGCCCATGCATTCTTAGGTCGGCCACGCCTCCGCTTGATCGACGCTGTGGCCGAGCGGATCGTAACATCTTGAAACGTAAGTTGTCTCAGAAAATCTTGGTTGGAAACTCTGCCAATTTTACCGAAACACGCCATAACAACCGGAAGGATGTGCAAAATATTCAGTAAAAATCAGGCGTGAAAGCCGTCGAGTCTCCTGCGCTCTGCTTTGTTCAGAGAATACATGAGTTTGGATGTCAGCAGGCGGATGTTGAACGAGATTCTGCTTTAGAGGAAGTCAATCATACTCCAACGCGATTCAAGCATAGTCAAAATACCCAAAAACAAGTCCGAAGCAGTTTGATTCATTTTGACTAGTTATTGGAATCTTCCTCCTGTGGAGGGACACACGCCCGACGTAAGGGCACCATTTTTCCTACTCCGAGTGCCAGCTCCCAGGCGCTGCCCTTCTCGCACGCGCTGATCGCCGCGCTGAAGGTGACCACGTTCGGCTGCACCGCGCCGGCCGCCATGCCCCGCAGGCACGACAGCGCCGCGCCCCAGCGGCTGGCCCTCTCGCAGGCGCTGACCGCCGCGCTCCACTCCACCACGCCCGCGGGGTGCCGCCGGGACGCATACTCCTCGAGATCTCTCTGCAGACCACACCCTCCCGGCCCGTCCGGCTCCACCGCCCAGGGCCACGCTCGGTATACACAAAGCCACGCCCCAGGAAGGGAATCTTGCACAGTCGGGGCGTTGACCTGCGGAACCCTCAATAAGGAACGAGGCCCCTTTTCTCCATAAGTAAAACTTTGACTTCCGATTTAAAAACATAAGGAAAACCTGAGGCGAGCTGTGAAACACTTGGGGAACACGGAGCCCCTCCCCAACGAAAAGGGTTCCTTCTTCAGGGCCCCGACTGTGTGCCGGAAGCCCGCGACGCGGACCCTCGCTCTCCCCCCCCCCAGGGCATTTTTGGGGTACGATCCGCAATTTCTCGGGCGGGCACGCTCCTTCAGGCACGCCAGCGCCCTCTCCCACTGCCGGCCGTGCCCGCAGGCTCCGATGAGCCCCCCGAGGCTGCTCGCATCGGGCTGCAGCTGGGCGTCGCGCATGCTCTGGATAGGGGGCCAGATGCGAACCCTACCACTACCCCCCACGATTTCTGAGGGGGAGGGTGGGGTTCACTTCGTTCGGGAGCTCACCACGAACAAAGTGAACCCCACCCTCCCCCTCAGAAATCGTGGGGGGTAGTGGTAGGGTTCGCATCTGGCCCCCTACTGGAGCAACGCCACCGCCAGACGCCAAGATGCTTTTCGGAGGAGTGCGGGCTGAGACAGCGGCGGCTCTCCCTTATATGGCCCAGTTGCGCCCCAAATCGGTACCTGGACCCCTCCTGGCGTCCTTCCTGACTAGTTTTGCGAGGCGGATGCAGCCGTGGCAACGAGGAAATCCGAAGCGGGCACAAAAGGACAGGACAAAATGCCAGTGGGAGGAGGAGGAGGAGGAGGAGGAGGAGACGGAAAAGGAAGGGGAGCAGGAGGAGGAGGAGGAGGAGAAGGAGAAGGAGGACAAAGTGAAGAGGGAGGAGGAGGAGG